CCAAAATGATCATCAAACTGGTCATGCCCATCAGCCAGGTCAATAACGACCCCTCCGTCGGGGACAGACTCAAAGTCATCGTCCTGGAGAACTACGGAGAGTCCTTCGGCGAGAAGGGTGAGCCAGGGGGCGGGGTGGGGCTGGGGCTGGCAGTCTCCCCTCACAGGTTTGTGGGCAAAGCTGGCCTAGCATTACCCTGCTGGCAACCCCCCAGCACAGACAGTGGAGGACACCTGGCTCCCACCGGGTCAGCGCGTGAAATAAGCCAGCCCAAGTCCTTTACAGCTACAGCGGCACAAGGGCTCCCGCCGGCTGAGACCTGTCACTGAAACTCGGGCCTGTACGTGCGGCTGATGGAGGGCTGTCCTTGCTTGACGTGGCCAAGACCCCACAGCCCTTGGGGCTCGTACAGGAGAACAGGCCTGGCCGGGGAGGTGACCTACACGGGTGGCAGTAGGCCCTTGTGGGCCTCCTTGGCCTTCCCCCAGTCCCAGCTGCATCCTTCTGGGGGGGGGAGAGTTTGCTGCTCGGGGGGAAGGCAGGGGGACTTGAGCCCTCAAGGCCATGCTCAGCTCTGCCCCAGGTCACACTAGGGCGCGGTGCAGTCTGTCTGGGGCCGCAGGAGCAGCTGGTGCCGGTGTCGTCAGTCGCACCCGGGGCTAACAACCAGGCACCGGGCTCCCTTACAGAACCCGAGAGCATGGACGCGGAAGGGCACCAAGAACATCGCGGCCACGGGGAAGTTCTCCAGCGCCAGGACCATCAGCGAGTGTGCCCAGGAAATATGGGGATGGAGCCGTCGGCTGCGACCATGCCCCCACCGAACCGCCCCAGGGACTGAGCTGGGCGCCGGCCGTATGTCCGCTGGGTTCCCGCTCGCTTTGCCCAGCCCCACTGACCCCAGGCGAGCAGAGGGAGGTGCTTTCATGGGCACAGCTGGCATGCAAACAGCAGAACAGGAGGAGCAGCTGGGCCCAGGGGCTGTGGCCCTCAACCACGCGGCACATCCTGGCCTGGCGGGGCGCCCACAGCTGGGGCAGCCTCCCATGCTAGTCAAGCGCTTTGAGGTCACAAGGCTGCCGTGGCCTGGGGACAAGCTGCTGGGAGGGGGGAGTGAGTGCTGGCCACCCTGCTCTGGTGACCTGCCAGGGCACCCTAACCCCCACCCAGTCCCTGCTGGGGGACACCCAAGGGCTCCTCCCCTTGGAGCTGGGGCCTGGTTCTGTGATGCTTGGCTTTCCCGTTCTCTGGCTCAAGGAATGTGCCCCACCCCCGTGCGGCTCTAATTGCTCTGCCACAAGCCTGCAGGGCCCTGGTTGCAATGGCAGCAGCTGTGGCCTGGCTCTGAAATCAGCAGCTAGCAGGCTCACATGTGGAAAGCTTTGAACTTGGGGCATCCCCGCGGCTTCCTCCTCTGCCTCTACTCAGTGGCACCTGCTGGCCCAGCGTGGCCACAAACGTGTGCAGTGACTGTTGCCTCACGCAGACGCTGGCAACTGATTACCCCATCCCCCTGCCTGGTGGGGCTGCTGTTCTAATCCTGGGCTCTAGTCCTGACAGTCGCATGCTGAGGCCTCC